TGTTACTAATGTTTGTAGGGCCTAAAAATGTCTAAACTTTAGGCCTACGGTTCGATGTTTTTTTCAAAAATAACTTTTTTCTGGCTGGATATATAAGTTTGATAATTTTACCCCGAAATCATCTGTTCGCATTATTTAGATTAAACAGTGATTGCTACTTTGCCGAAAAAAATCGCAATAGCCAATATTACATTGTTGAGGCTGATTAATAGTGCACTCTGATTCGGATTTCTTGGCCACAATGAATTATTTTTACCCTTGAGTCTGTGACATGAGCTAGTTAATGTACCAATTAATTGTACTGTTACCATTAACAGACAATAGCACTTTCTTTAGGAACCTCCACTGGTAACGAATTTGTAAAGTCCATCGCCACTGATTGTAAGTTACTTATAACGTAAAGATGTAAGTGAAAGTTTGCTTGAAGAACATTTCACTAATTCGATCAGAATTTGTTTTCATACGACGTATTATTTCGTCACATTATTGGTACCTAGTGACGTTTGCCAAAGACGGTACAAGCTTTGAAGAAAACTTGTCCAATATCATTTCAAAACGTGCAGAGGTAGAAAACATGTGAAAAAATCTAAACGAACTATCTCTTTTCGATTGCACCAGAAGTTATGCATTTTACTCGTCCAACATATTTTTATTTGTAAGGTTTTGAGATAGATCTTTAACCGGAGCGTAAACAGAGAAAGTGTAATTCCTAATTATCCTTACAGTGCATGAAGCTTTGAAGATAAATAATATATCAAATCACCCAAAGTAAATAGGTACACAATCTTTTCGTCATTTATATCAATACTTGGGTCCTAAACTTTACAACCAACTTCCGCTTCAAATTGAAAATACAAGAAATTTAAAATATTTTTGTTAAAGAACAGCTGGCAGATACAATATTTGTTATTTGATTCTAGAATCATCAGTGTATTTTTTATTATAAATCAATTTACTTTGCAACTAGTAACAGTACTTGAATAAAGACCAGTTTTAATGTTTCAACAAATATTATAATTGTAGGCCTATACAGTGTTCTGTAATATAGGAAATAAATTAATTGATTTAATATTTTTTAATTTGTTAAAACTAATCAACACGTTTAGTATTATGATTGTCTTGTATAAAAATATTTCATACGCCTAAGTCTAAAGCGACGACTAACTAAGTGAAATAAATTAAAACCACTTTTGTGATTTCGGAAAAATAGTCTAATCATTAGTAGTACCCTAGTTTTATGTGTGTTAAAGAATTTCTATTTTGCGATTGCCACATAAAATAAAAGCAAAATTTAAGTTGAAATTGAAGGTCAATTACTCGGGTGAACTGACCCGAGTGACCCGACACCCCAAAAACTGGAATGGGCTGTCGTGAAAGGGAAATCTAAGAAATTGCAAATGAAATCCATTCGGAGTAACGTAGGGGATTAACGGGACCTCCATGTACGCTGTTCACTCATAATTCCTTTACATTTCCAAGTATTGACTGTTTATGTTTTGGACCAAACAATAGGTCGAATAGTTTGTACCAGATGCCTACGACTACAATTTACAACAGGTAGTACGTTCACCTTTCCTAGTAATAAATTCATAGTTTGTTCCTCAATTAACAATGAGACATATTGTGTTATTGTTCTAATACAAGTGAGAAAAAATCACCAATTTGTACTGTCGAAACGACAATTTAAATATCAACCCATGAGTGATCAATACACAGTCTAAAGCCGCGTTTACGCGAGGCAAGTAGAGCAGGCAGGTTACTTACCTCTAATGTATTTCAACCTACAGCACAGAAAAAACTACGATAATTTAAGATTTATAATTCTCTTATTTGATTCTAGTCTCAAAAGTATTATTATAATTATTTTCTTCATAAATTATTCAATTATATCTTTCATTAATAATTTACTTCGTAACTGGTAACACTACTTGAATTAAAACCAGTCTTAATTTGTATTATAGTTTACTCTTTTTTATCCGTCCAGAGTACGTGCTGGTTATTGTTATTTGAATTTATCATTAAAATATATGTAGTAATTATGAGTCTATAACATCTACCTAAAGTATTCTTAAACCATTACTTTGGAAATAGCCTAGTAAATTCTGATTATTTGTGCTTGACTAATAAGTTAGGAATAAATAATTATAGGAACTTAAGGGTAAAGGTTTTCATTAGATAACATTTTATGTCGGCAATATTACGGTTAAAAACTAATCGAAACAAAACAATCGATTTACTTTCAGATATTTCCAATAATATACTACTACGACAATATACTTTCAGAAAAACCTAAGTTATTCTTATACAAAAAGTATTTTTAAATTTAAACAAAGCCTATGTAAAAATACACTACTTTTTGAAGTAAATTTAGCCCAGGCACATTGTCATTTGGCAAAAATATCACTTTCAGCAATAAGCTCCTCACCCATCTAAGCCGGAAATGCACAACATAATATGTTGTTCTTAAGAATAAGTTTCAAGAATGGTATGCATTGCTCCTAAATAGTACGAACGTCCGGTACTAGAATTGAGTCATTCAATATCATAACTCAACCACGAGAGAAAATTCCACGTGTTTCCGTAGGACGAAGGGTGAATCACCGGTAGAGAGAGGATCAAGACAAATTACGTAGAACCATGCATGTTTAAGCAATAGTCGTCATGCCTTCAAAGCTATTTTAAAATTATACAAACTATACCTGCAAAACAAAATACTGTACATCATTTGATAATAATTCTCAGAGAGCAAGTTTAACCGTCTCACATAATCTAATATGATTTTAATCATAATAAAATAATGCATATTTAGTTCCGCACTACTTAGTACTAAACATTTAATTTGTATTAAACTGCACTTAAAATATGCAGTATGTCTGTATTTAAAATGGGCTGATTAACGTCGGACAAAAACAAATTGTTTTTAAGATAACTACTTCGAATACTTAATACAGTATCTTAATGTTAATGTTTCAAAATTACTCATTACACTTTAATTTTTAAGTGGTGTATTCAGTGAGGCGTGACTAATGGATTTACTCGCAGGGTCGACCAGCCATTGTCTCTTTTAATCCGTATAAGTAGGGGATTAGTTCTTTGCTCGCGTAGGACCGAGGAGCGCAAGGTACCTCTGCGCTCCTCGGTCCTACCCCTACGGTTTTTATTTATGACCTCCCATTAGAGGAGGTATTGTGCGCTCCTTGGTCCGCGAATCCAGGTTGATATGCCCCTGACGCCCCCGCCATATTCCCCCTCCCCCAGGGGATGTCGACCACGTTGGGGGGGGGGTGACAACATGCGTTTTCATTATCACTATAGTGCCTATAACAACAATCGGAAATAAAATTGCATCAGGCTTTCCATGAATACTCAACCCCCTTCAGATCCTGGACTATTTAGTGAGTACAACCACAGAAAACATATTACTATAACAAGGTGCGTCCACACTTGACGAACAATGTTCACTAGATGGCTGGGGACCTCAAAACAAAAAAGTAAATCGATTCCATGAGACTTACGGTAATAGCTTATTCCTTATATGGGAACATACTAACATCCTCCCTCAGTAAATTTCTCATCCTTGTGGATCAGCTGATTACAATTTTACTGTCGCATTGTTGTTTATTGTTGTAGTACACTGTAGAGGTTGTGTTTTGTTTACAATTTTGTTCTTGTTATTTTCAGTTACCCTATATAAAACCTCGTTTCACAAAATAAAACGATGTAAATAATAAACAATAACTCGTCCCCTAGTTGTATAACCAAACAGTAAGCCACAAATCATGAAATTGACCCTAAAATAATAGAAACACTATTTAATTTACATCAACCGTTTAAAGTGATAAGGGAGGAGTTGCACCAGGCAAGAAGATGGTAGTGCCATCCGCAAATCAGAGGGCCATACCGTTGAGTTCGAGGTCATTTATGGCGACAAGGAACATTACAGGCCCCATAATCGAGCCTTGGGGAATACTGCATGGGCTATACATTCATGGCCTGAGATTTTGCACCACTTAGGCCTAAAGAAAAAACTTGATTTTCTACTTCCAATATAGGATTTCAAGTGTGCACGGCAACACCACCTACACCATAACGTTCAAGCTTGTCTAATAGGATTTTGTGGGAGAATCAGTCAAATGCCTTGCTCAGATCGCAGAGTGTTGAGTGTCAAAAGACAATGTATCTGAAGATTCAAAAGCATTATGCACTCTGCTTAGAAGTTCGGCCACCGCAGTCACTGTAGATTTATTACGCCTGAATCCATGTTGGAGATCCGAGAATAGGTTGTTTGTTTCAATAAAAGTTACAAGTTGATTTTTAATGATGGTTTCTTAAGTTTTCTTAGTTTTGATATAAGTATAGTCAAACTTACAGGTATTAAGAATAAAGTATAGACTTCACCTATACTTTAACCTATTTAGCTGAGATAAACTGTTGACAATGCGTACTAAGTTATGTAGGCCTATGGCATGAAAATATGGTTATGGGAGAAATAGTAGCTTTACCATGATAAACTAACCTAACCGCTCAACCTGACCGCTAGCAGTCTATATAGCAGAGCAGGTGAAGATGTTCCAGGCGTGCTTTCTCCATTGCTACTAAATTCTTGTATTGCCAATCTTTAATTTCATCATATTTTGTTGCCAGGTGTATGAACCGGCAGTGTATTGCAGATCATGTGCCTGCTGAAATGTGAAGACGTTTCAGACGTACTTGCCCACTGGCAGTTCTAGGAGCTTGTCAAATGGGGGCTAACAGGGGTACTCACACCGAGAGGGAGGTCCAGGGGTCCTCCACAGACAAATTGTTTATATACTGTCAGAAAACCTCCGTAACATTTTTATGACAAAAAGTATAGCTAAATTTATATGCGGTAGGCCTATTTAGGTTCCAATAAGGAGGCTTTAAAGAGCCCTTATACCCCCTCCTGGAAATGCCACTGCTTGCCCCAGTGCTATGAAATTTCTCGTATTGCCTATGTTATCATCATATTTTGTTCCCAGGTGTATGAGCCGGCAGTCTGTATGGCAGAGCATGCGCCATGGTGAAGACGTTTCAGGCGTACTTGCCCCATTGCCACAGAACTTACTCTTGTATTCACTGTCGAGCTCATCTCGCAAACCACGACGAGCTCATCTCGAAAGTAAGTTGTATCAATTTTACCTTCTAAAAATTCAGAATAAGTTCAACAAACATTATCAACTAGAGTATAACCGTAAGCCAACAGCAAAAGTTCCTTATTCACTATACACGCCATCCATTAAAACTTAATCAGTGTTTTAGATATGATGATATATAACCAAAACAGATATGAATATACAATGGTAATTTTTCAAGTAAGGGCCGTTTTTTGAAGTGGGTCACGCATTTACTGGCATCATTGGTAAACAGAATGGTGCCATTTGCAGTTCTGTAGCTGATGTGTATGCTTCGCTGTGTGGTTTGAAAATTTTGAAAATTATTTAATCTCTAACTGCATGCAAGATTTGATCAGTGATACCTTTTTTGACCACAATAAACAATTCTGTGGCCGACATTTATCACCATACTAGCTGTACCCGCGGGCTTTGCCCCGTTTAACTTCATAAGTGAGCTCATTCGCATGCCTCAATCACGTCCTGGTTGAAGTTCGTTCGCTACGCTCACTCATTTTTAGGTTGGAGCTTGTTTGCTGCGCTCACTGGCCTTCAGGTTAGCTCGTTCGCTATGCTAACTCACCTCCAAGTTAAAGTTCGTTCGCTACGCTTACTCACCTTTTGGTTGGAAATTAGCTGTTGTCATAAATGTAAAAGAAATAAACATGCTGCACCCTGTTGGTAATCCTTAACTTTAATGCTATTGAACATCATAGAACAGAACCAACTTGTTTAATTGAAACAGCTGCTAAGATTCATTAATTCCATTTAAATATGAGTACTCATAAGGTTATAATGGGAAACTCCAGAGCCACTGGGGCGGAGCCCGAGAGTCCGATCAGAATAAAAACAGCTTAGTTTTCCTATTTAATGCCTAAAGAATCAGTGTACCAAATTTCAGCCTCCTAGGTAAATGGGAAGTAAGAGAATTAGTGATGAGTGAGTGAGTCAGTGAGGGCTTTGCCTTTTATATATATAGACTAGCTGTACCCTCGGGCTTTGCCCCGTTTAACTTCATAAGTATTCGCATGGCTCAATCACGTCCTGGTTGAAGTTCGTTCGCTACGTTCACTCACCTTTAGGTTGGAGCTCGTTCGCTGCGCTCACTTGCCTTCAGGTTAGCTCGTTCGCTACGCTATCTCGCCTCCAGGTTGAAGTTCGTTCGCTACGCTCACTCACCTTTTGGTTGCAAATTAGCTGTTGTCATAAATATAAAAAAAAATGATAGTGCTGCACCCTGTTGGTAATCCTTGTAACTTGAATGCTATTGAACATCATAGAATAGAACTAACTTGTTTAATTGAAACAGCTGTTAAGATTCATTAATTCCTTTTAAATATGAAAAATCATAAGGTTAACATGGGAAACTCCAGAGCCACTGGGGCGGAGCCCAAGAGTCCGATCAGAATAAAAACTACTTAGTTTTCCTATTTAATGCCTAAAGAATCAGTGTACCAAATTTCAGCCTCCTAGGTAAATGGGAAGTGGGAGAATTAGTGATGAGTGAGTCAGTGAGTCAGTGAGGGCTTTGCCTTTTATATATTTAGATGACTGAAGGTTATGACCCTAATGACAGAAGTGAGAGTAAAGTTCAAAAATGGGTTAGGACTTGTACCTAAACATCACCATGAAAACCTTTATCCCTAGTCGTCTTTTGTGAGAAGTCTACCATTCCCCAAAAACATAATTCTTTCCAAAATGTACATTTTCATTGCAATTTTAAAAATCCCTCGTAACCCATTTCTGCTCTTAACCTTCAATTATTAAAAATCAATCATTACATTAGGGATATAAACTTACTTAAAAAACAACCCTCGTAATTTCTTGTGATCAGAAGTTTTGTGACACAAAACAATATTTTTATTTAATCAATCCATGTTTTATATTTTACCTAAAAATTTAAAAGAATCATTCTATAATAATATAAAATGTAATTTTAGCTGTCATTTATGCTATAAATTGGTGTAAAATACCTGCATTTATGCGATCTTGTGTTGTAGCTGAGTTGCTACCGGTTTCAACTCACATTGGAGTCATCTTCAGGCGGTTATAAGATGTCTTCTCGCTTCATTCGAAGGTCGTCAAATGGATAATAAATAAACAAAACACAAACACGTACACGGACATAAAAACGAACATTTAAAGCTGTAAAAATACTGAAAACGGTAGGCCTCCGGGACACGACACGACGTGATCGGGCGAAAGTTATGTCTAGACATAACTTTCGCCCGATCACGTCGTGTCGTGTCCCGGAGGCCTACCGTTTTCAGTATTTTTACAGCTTTAAATGTTCGTTTTTATGTCCGTGTACGTGTTTGTGTTTTGTTTATTTATTATCCATTTGACGACCTTCGAATGAAGCGAGAAGACATCTTATAACCGCCTGAAGATGACTCCAATGTGAGTTGAAACCGGTAGCAACTCAGCTACAACACAAGATCGCATAAATGCAGGTATTTTACACCAATTTATAGTATTTAAATGTGATCAGGAGGCTAAAATTCAATATAATGATGTCATTTATGATTTTAGCGAATTTCCCATATAGGGAATAAGCTATTACCGTAGTACTCATGGTAAGACCTGGACGCGGGACCGATTTTTTTTTTCGTTTTGAGGTCCCTAGAGGCCAAAATCACCATTCGTTCAAATTCATATATATATATATATATATTTATATATTTATATACATACCTATATATATATATATATGTGTCCTTTAGCACGATAACTCAAGCAAAAATGATCCGATTTTGATGAAATTTGGTACAAATGTTTAAACCTACGTTTATTCGAACGAGTTCGCGATCCAGCATGATCGGATCATGGGAACGGGGGTTTATGGGGGGTTTTATGGGGGAAAAATAGGTTTTTCCCATTTTTGACCCAAAAAACATAAAATTTTGCAATTTCTTTCTAAACCATTTTGTAGAGCTTAAAAAAACAAATAATTTAGTATATTGAAGCGCTATTATGCGCCTAATGGTTACGGAGAAAATTCAAAAAAATTGTAAATTTAAAATTCCCATGTTATTCGTATGGAGAATAAATAAACTGTTGTAGTTTGCTTGTTTATGAACATATTTTGATCAAATTTGGAAAATGTTTTTATTTCTTACTAACTATTAACATTAAAAAAAAAACAGTTTTACCCTCCCTGATGCAGCAAACCTAAGTACTTGTTAAACTAATTCTATTTAAATCGGGAATAAATGTTATATTTTTAAGTAGACATTTCAGTGTACATCCAATCAGTCAAATGGAAAATCTTTAAGTCTGCAGGTTTGCTGCGGCGGGGGTATTAATTTAATTTAGCTGACACATATGCATTTCACAATACTGAACCTAAATTATTGACCTTAACTTCAACAACTTAACTTGTATGATAGAGATCCAGTCTAGAAAACAATGCACCATATCAAAACAACTCACTGGGAACTTTTATCACCATGCGAAAGACAAACACTTGGCTAAAAAACAAGCACTCTGATAATAGGACAATCATTTTATTAAGTAGATATTAGATAATAAGTAAACTGCATAATAGTTTGGTAAATAAACCACTAGATTGAAGAAGTGGTGTTGGCATTAAATATTTATCTTTTGTTGAATTAATTAACATGTGTACATGTTGCTCAAACTCAAGCAATTGCAAAGTATTACAGAAGTTATTTCAAAGCGAAGAACAGTCATATTTACAATGAGTTTAAAAGAGTCAACTCAAAGATTACCGGTGTGTAACTCATGGAAATATTCTAGGTGGCGCTGATTCGGGTGTTCGCTTAACTCTGAAAAATTCCTAGAACCGGCCCTGACTACCTCAGTAAAAAAATTCCTGGAATGAATTTCTGTAGACATTTAGCGTGATCGCCCGTGGGAAATTCGCCTAGCAGTAATTGTACAACTCCCTGGGAGGGCATTTCGGTAGTGGAGGTATAGCCGACGAGCCATAGTCTAACATTAGAAAGCGCTTTTCGTGTACCTGCAAGTCTACATTGTTGGTTTCTATTATTCGTTTACCTGCATTGAAAAATGGCATTTCACGAACAACGTGCGGTATGAGTGCCACAAACGGTTTCGTGAAGGCTGTGAAAGCATTGACAATGACCCTCCTAGTGGACGTCCTTCAACAGCAGTCAATGACGTAAACATTGAGCGAGTGTACGATAAGTTGTGCGTGGAAATCGGAATTAACAATCAATTAAATTTTAGGCCTACTCGCTAGACTACGGCTCATCAGCTATACCCCTACTGAAAAAATGCCCTCCACAGGAGTCGTTCCAACTACTGCAAGGCGGGAAATTCATTCTGGGAATTTTTTTACTGCTATATATGTATGCATCTCGCAATCCAGAGGAAGAATTTTGTCTAAATTTTAGAATTAGGGACTTATAGCCCTAAAAACGTGATTGGTGACAGCCACTAGTAAAAATAAAAAAAAAATTAACATTGGCCTTATGGGTTGCTAAGTAACTATGTTGGTTGGACAAAATAACAAGGAAAAAGTAAACAAAAGACTTGTCTCGTGTGTTTATATGAAGCCATCCACAGTATACTAGCGAATCACAAAATCCAGTCAGAGGAAAAAACATCATTTAACTAAGGAGTATTATTGTAGTTGAATGTTGTACTATGTTAAGACAGTAAATACCTTATTAATTATCACTGTATTGATCTCGGGAACAACTCATTACAGAGTTGGTTATTATTTCAGCGATCAAATGTCTATATTTGTAATAAAAATTTGTTTCTGTAAATTATAAAACGTCTGTTTGTTTTAACGACTAAACTCAATTGGAATTGACGTCAACCGAACCCCCGTACTTAGTTTAAAATCAGATAAAATTATTCCCAGTGTGTAGGCCCTATCATTTTACACTGTTATATTGTAAAAGGAACTGTCATCTGTCATCGACTAAGCGAAATGCCATTTGTCACAATCTTCTACTGATGAAAAGCACAAAAGATTCCAATGAGTGATGTGGTTGCTGTAGCCTAGAAGTGACAG